AAAAATAAACAATATCGTTTTTAATTAATGTAAAGAGGTCGTGGTTTCATATCTGGATATATACAATTTTATTAAAAATACGAAATTAGCTCAAGTTGAAAATGTTGCATTTAGGTATACGCGAATTGAATAAATTCGCTCATGGTAGCGTGTGCATGTTTATCATTCTTGAAATGTAAATGAAAGCATTCTTGTGTACGTCGGGATATAGCTAATATTATTGAAACATATTTTATGTTTTAGAAATGCATTACATTGAACAAACGTAAAAATATCTGCACGAATGATGTTAATAGTTAGATGCCTAGAAAAATGTTAGATACCCTAAAGTACCTAAGTAATTAGTCACAACGACAGTGGTTTTGAAAAAACGATTCATTTGGAATGGTATTCATACTTTACCTACACTTGAAGTACTTTTAGCTTAACACATGTGGAATATTCTCATTATTATCTGACAGTTGTAAGCAGCTGTAGATTTTTTTTAACGATTACTCGTTATTCAGAAGCAGGTTATTAGAAACAGTTTCCATAAAAACCTATTCTTATTAACCGGAGTCCCACCAAATGATAATTTTGCCACGGGCTGAAGGTAAATGTTTATTTTTTAAATGTGGATTAAACGAGGGACAGGCAATTACTTTTATGTGATCGTCTATGATCTTTGACACGTATTCAGGATATCAACGTTAGTGAAAGCGCGGTAAAATATATCATGAAATTTTTTAAACATATTGTCAGGGTGCAGAAAAGGACATAGGGTATCTTTTATCCAGAAAGAAATACTGTTCCAGAGAGATAGAAAAATTAGTTTATGTGGTTCTCGAAGATCTTTGATATTATGTATTTAGAACATCAATGCTAGCGAAGCCGTCGGTAAAACCTATCATGAAATTTTGTTAACACATTGTCAGGGGTACACAAAAAGGATATAGAGTACCTTTTATCCAGGAAAAAAATAATGTTCCTTAGGGAAAGAAAAATTAGTTTATGTGATTCTCGAAGATCTTTGATGCGTATATTTAGAACAGCAATGCGAGCAAAGCCGCCGGTAAAACCTATCATGAAATTTTGTAAAGACATTGTCAGAGATACAGAAAAGGACATGGGGTACCTTTTATTCAGAAAGAAATACTGTTTCAAAGTGATAAAATAAATAGTTTACATGGTTCTCGAAGATCTTTGATATTATGTATTTAGAACATCAATGCTAGCGAAGCCGCCGGTAAAACCTATCATGAAATTTTGTTAACACATTGTCAGGGGTACAGAAAAAAGATATAGAGTACCTTTTATTCAGGAAAAAAATACTGTTCCCTAGGGAAAGAAAAATTAGTTTATGTGGTTGTCGATGATATTTGAGCAAGCGAAGCCGTGGATAAAACTTAGTATCAAGATAAATACTCATATGCGATTTTTTTAGTAGATACATTACATAGTTTCTAATGAGTTAAGTCGTTTTTAATCTTATAAGTAATAAAAAAAAGATTAAAACTGTAGTGTGTAGGATTTCATCTCAGGGATTTTGTGGATTTCTTCATTAATAATTGTTTTATTTGTTTAATGTTCCTGGTGGTAATCCGCGAGGATACTCAGACTTTAGCAAAGTAAATTTAATTAGCTGTACCTTAGAGTTAGGATGTTTCAATAGGATTTCGCCACTTGGTCCGCTGTTCCGTAAATTTTCATTACATGTAGGGGTGCGAATGAACTGCCAAGTGCCTTCGAAAAATAGGGTGGTGTAGTCGTCCTTAGCGCTCATGTTGGTCGCGTCGAATCTCAATTCCACCACGTTAGACGTTGAAATGTAAGTGATCGGTGATTTCGAATCGTTATATTCCGAGCATACACAGTCTCGGGATATCGGCGGCACATCATTCCATGGAATTTCGAAAAATCGTAACGTCGCTGACCTGTTCCCGTAGCATTGGAAGCGGTCGGTGTTCGGACTGATTTTTGTAACGCAATTTCGACCCTTGATTATCACCTTTGTCAACGTTATCTTCACCTTTTCGTCTTTTTTCGCTTCAAATCTGTATACACAGCTGAAATGTAGAATTCACTGCATAAAGGACAATTTATTTTACATATTTATCCTTTATAAAACATGAATGTCTAATTTTTTATAAGTACAGTGTAATTACCATTACTTTTTGGAATTGGTTCACGTGCTATGTGAGTGACGTAAATGCAATCTGTTAATAACCGCACAGTAGTTGTTTTCATTGTTTGTTTTTATTTAATTTTAACTCAAATGCTTTGATGTTAATGTAATTCTATGTATGTCTGTTTGCGTTTAGTATTTGCTTGTTGACCCTTTTTATCGAAATCGACTCTATTTTTGCATAATAATTGAGTAATTTAATCTTAACGACATTTTTCCGGTAATATAGATTGTTATGAAACCATAAATTGATTTTACTGACAATGAGAGAGCTTGATTGGCGCTAATATTAATAACTCGTATCTGCTTGCCAATAAAACAGATTTCGTTTCCGAACCTGTTTGTTTACGTCATTCAGAATTGACATATGAATAATTTAATTATATTTTGAGTAGTTGCAATGTTTAATTTGGGTATGAAAGATGAGTGCATACCTTCTATAGGTCTATTAATGCATAATATTATTAACATGAGAGTAGATTTATCACACAAATATGCACTTTTTAATGGCACTTAAATTTCATGAAAATAAGGGAATATAAGGGTATTGAAAATAGTTCTCTAGTTCCCCAGTGTATAGTTCCCCTTCGTCAGTTCTTTTTTTATTAATTTATAAGCAACATGAATGATTTTTCATTCACTTTTCTTTGCAACGTTTGTTTTCTTTATGGTTAAATGTGCAACTCAGTTATTGTAAAATTACCTTATATTTTCCAGTCCCCCTCTTCCATACAAAAAAATATCCTTCGGAGACTTAAACCTTTGTGTCTGCGTCTGCGTAAATTTTCTGCTGCAAGGTCCTACGCCATAAGGTTCTCCGTCTTGATGGAGATCTACGAACTCATAAAACACCCGGAAATTCACCGGTCTACGAAATAACATACTCTGAAGTTAAAAAGTAATAAATAGTAACTTTTCAAAATTCAATTAACCTTAGAGCAGTAGACTCGATCGTGTTCAGTTCCAGCGTCATGCTGTCGCCCGAAGACAGATAGCTTTCTGTTAAAAAACATGGTCTCGGAAATCTTGTATCGTTGGCCAGCATTACATGGTCACAACTCTTTGGCATGTGCTCTCGACAGTAGCGACCGAGAAGAGTTACGTTTTTGGAGGGCATGTTCCCAGATCGTTGGGGAACTTTCGATCGGTCTTTACTAAAAATTAGTAGTAGTCCTTTAGGATATAATAACCAAAATTAACGAATGAAACTAAACTGTAATGTTTTAGCCTGCTTTATTGATAAATTCTACTGAAAATAAACTATAGCTTCTGAGGCCCAAAAGCCATAAATGGTGCTATAAGAAAAGACTTTTAGGTGTTTCATGGTTGGGATGAGAGAGTTGAGACGGACGAAATGAAGGCAGAAGAAACAGAAAAATTAACTGTGGTACGTGGAATATTACTGCTTCAGCATTTGTCTAAGTGATCCAAGGAAATCAAAGAAAAGCTTGGACCCGGAATTTAACCGGTGTCCTCTCGAATGCTAAGCAATGACGTAAACCTCTACAGGTCGTGCTGTTCGGTTTAATGAGACTATGTGTAGTAATAAACTAATTAGATTAATAAATGAACACAGATAGAGTGGCATATGCCATCTGTAGTGTTTGCTATAAATTGTATGTGCTGTGATAGTCTTCAAGTTCGAAGTCGCATACAATTTACGTGATTTTTTTTGTCGACGCTCATATATCCATAGTCGTTACCCTCACTAGTATGGATAAGACTCGGTAGTTGAACCTTATCATGTATAACATTAAATTAAATACAAACCACAACAAATCCTTGCAAACTGTTGGATTCCAGAGTTGCCCATCCCACACCTTCAAGCTGCTTCTGCATATTTCTGTATCCAATTTGTCTGTTATCCGCGGCCCAGCGTCGTAAAATTTAATCACAGTTAGCCAAACACGGTATCGTGGTGGTGGGAATATAACTCGCGTTTTCGTCCAAATTCCGTCTGGATATCGAGAAAGAGGCCTGAAAGGTACCGGGGATGGTGAAACTGTTGTATCCATTCCTTGAAGATGGTACATGCACGTGGTGTTGGCTGGAACTGAATGGATTGGATTTTCTAGTATGCCTTTGTTCGTACCTCGTATCCAGAATTCGCATTGCCTTTTCGTTTTTATGTACGTCGGAGATTGCTGGTCCACAAATTTTACCTATGTTAAAGAATGTTGCTTAATTTTGACATATAAATGCATTGGATTAGTGGTAAAGAGTTTTGAATGGAAAAAGTGATGGCATTTATTAAAATGAATAAGGGAATCAAATTTTCCTATTACTATTGCCAAATATGAACTGGAACTATTTTAATGATTATTTATTAATCACTGAATAAAAGTACTTGATGTCTCTCTAGAAAATTTCTGCAGGTTGATACTTTTGGATTTTTTAAAAACGTTAAAATTTGGGAAACTGTAGGTCATTAAAAAAATAGTTTTAGTGCTTGGAAAACGTTTATTGAGAGCATTTTTTTGCGTCGTTTTCGTATAAAGATACTGAAAATTCGGAAAACACAGGCAGCACACGCGGGGTAATTTGTCTGACAACTTTATAACTAACTTGGGAGAGAAAATCTTCCTGTAAACACGTAACCGCGAGGTAGTGATGTCGAAAACGAGAAGATCGAACGTGTCTGAAGATCTGCTACTGCTCACAACGTGCGGAAAGTGCATTAAACTTGACATGAAAATCTCGAACGAGCTCAGTCCCAATTTCAATATGTTGGCCGTTAGCGGAAAGAATTCGTGAGTGGCATTCAGGTGCAGCGACGGAAAACTTGCTTGATGATTACGAGGATTACATTTACCTGCATTTTTACGTCATAGTTTTACGAAAACTTGTGTACCTATGCATACTATACAAAGGTGTATATATATATATCTTCTTTGTAGTATGTTGTATCTTTTTTCTCGCTGAAGTTATATCCATTGACCCAGTGGCACCACGCACCTTCAAAAATAGTTGATGGGTTGCAAAAAAACAAGAAAAACTAAACTTATAATTAGGCGCAGTGCGGCTTCGAATATGCCTCAGAATATGTGTTGAAGAATATGAATATTTAGAGCTAAACGGGGGCAAACTAAGAAGCAGAATGGTCCACCTACCGCGATCTCTTCCCTATTCAAAGACAGAGAACGCTGAACATGCAAACGTTTCTCTGACATCACGGCTAGCAGAGGTGCGGAGGTCACGCGCCTACCTCTTCAGTTGTGCTTTTACTACGTATGACATTAGAAAGCGTCTCAATCGTTCAATAATTTTACATGTAATTTCTTCAATTTTCAATTATTGTAAAAGAAAAATGATTACCTCTACTAAAAATTTATTTGCGAGAGAAGTAAATGTCTACATAAATCAGAAAATAGGTGAAGGATCACGAGAAACGGGACTTTTTGTTTATTGTGATCCGTCAAATGGGCATACACCATCTAGTGGCAAAATTTTTAACTCGAATGAGGGAAAAATTTACATAGGAAAGTTAAATCAAATAAAAAGTTAATATGTTCAGTGAAAAAGTGCAAAAGCACTTCAGACATAGATCTTCACTCTTCACCTACATTAACTACTTTCCAATAAAAACTAACCGTTTTATATATGTAAAAAATATATTCGGAAAATTAGAGAAAAAAGTAAACTAATAGAAGCTTGGATGAAAGCAGTAGGTATCAAAGAAGTGAATTCCGGAATAAAAATTTGTTCACGTCATTTTAATGCACATGATTATATTTCAGCAAGTATTTACCATCAGCCATAACCTTAATACTTATTTAAAACTAGAATCATACTAAAATTATAAAGTGAGAAACTTTATTCCTGTTTAATTGATTTAACACAATTCTAATGATACGATATAAGTATTTTGTGGTTAAGAACCTACCTGCTGCAATACAACATAGTTGCAATAATGTGTTTGCAACGTTCTCTTAAACTACGATAAATTTTCCCTAATCGGCGCCATGTTTTTAGACTCCTCCCATTTGACGGACCCCAATAAAAGTTAATCGATTCAACAAATTATTGTAAAAATCAAGAAGGTTATATTGTAGGAGAGTCACTTTTTAATGGGAATTGTGGATCATAATAAACTTTAAGAAAATATAAAGTCTATCATTTTGTGCAGAAAGATCTTCATTTTCCTGCAAGGTGTTATAAAATATCATTTCTCTAGAAATAATAAATTTCTTTCCCAATAAACGCAAACTTAAAAAGTGTTCGTAAAGTGCTGTGTTCTATATATTGTTGGTGGTCACTTTTATCAAAATACGTACTTCTACTTCAAGTTGAAATCCGTGTAACGGCTGGATCGGTGTCGGCTGAAGAAAAGTTCCGTACGGGGATGTGGAAAACTCGACCAGTAGCTCGTGTCCGCTTGAAACCGCTTTCGGTACCGCTTCGCCTCCACCACAAAACTTAAGAATGACAGGATCTCTTGTAGTGTAGCCGTCGTAAACTGTTACGTAATCTTGCACGTCGTCGCAGGCATTCCAAACCTAAACGTCTTCAATTATTGAACTCGAAAGGAAATTGGATAAGGTTTTTGATAGTTAATTTATTAATCGGCAGAAGATTATTTTGAGGAGGGATGGATTAGATTAGCCGATTGTGCTTGTTAAAATCGACCTGGGGGCGTACTATATATACTGTATTTTTGGAGCCACTGAATTCCAATTTAGCGCGTCAGGGTTCGGATATAATCTCAAAACCACTAAAACTGTCAATCATGAGTATCCCAAATAATTTTAAACTTAAAACCCTTAACCAATTAACTCTTCCACTGAATGTCCAACTTCATAATCCTTTAAACCGCCAAACATAAAACCTTAGACCCTATAACCCTACATCGTCGTAATCAAAAACTTCTCGGCGTAGTTTTCACAAAATTAAAGCAGAATATCCTCATATTCCTAAGGTATTGAACTCTGTATAATCCTGTGTAATATTTGTAGGACCGTCAGCGTAAGCATTACTTCATGTACGCTGCGAGAAGGTAAATTTAATTGTGTAAAATCTTCATCGCAAATAGTTTCATGGTGAGAGATTAAGGGATTTCAGTATTTTGATTTGATATAGGGTTATGGGGTTATAAGGTTTTATTGTTAGGGTTTTAAAGGATTATAAAATTATACATTCAGTGGAAGGGTTGATTATTTACGAGTTTTAGATTTAAAATCGTTTTGGATTATCATGATTAACGGTTTTAGTGGATTTTAGAGCGTTTTTTGGTGTAATGCCATCAAAACCCTGACATACTAAGGTAAAATGGACTGCGGATTTGGATTCAGTGACCCCAAAAACGTACGTTGCACGTTATTTTGTCCAAACCCTGACGTGTTGGTGTTAAATTGATCTCGGATGACCATGTGGATTGCATTGCTAGTTTGAGACTGAAGTTGGCTCACCCTGACTTGTGTACTTATAGCAATATACACAGATATACTCTCCAGAAGAAAGACTTTTCATTTTTCTGATGTAGTAATGTTGAGTTTTTATTTCTAATTTTGAGATGAATGCGACCTACATATATTTCTACAAAGTTTAAAATCGCAAAGATGCAGTTGCTAGTTTCATATTAGTGTAGAAAATAACAAGGACATGTAAACATAGTATCCTGTCCGGATTTTTTTTATCTTACCTTGAGTTCCCTCGTACTGGCAGTTCCGTATAGGGCTGCCTGGCTCCGTATGGAGACAAGTTGTCCTTTGGGCTGTCGGACGATAATCAGGGCGTGCTTTCCCTGAGGCACTTCATGTTGGCGTACTGCGTAATAACAAGTCACGTTTCTCGGATATAAACCCGGAAAATTAGGAGACTGCAATCGGCACCGTTTCCGGTCGCAGTCGCTGAATATTCGGGAACAGTAGGTGCCCGAAATCAAGTCGCCCAAGTAGTATTCCGGTTCCGTTAACGATGTCGTTGCGGCCGTAGGAAACGTCTCATTTAACCTACCTGAAAACAGGACCATAAAGAAAAACTGGCCATTGAAATCACTTTTATAGTCCTCTTATTAAATTCGTCACGAATAAGTCCCAGAGAAGTTACCACGTTAGGAAAATCAAAATTATATGAATCAAGGCAGAATAACCAGGGAAGTTTAAACATTGGTAATTGTACGCTGCTCAAAGTAACTATCTACAAATGTTTTCTATTACGAATACTGGATGTCGTTGTGCTTATAGATATATAATTTTGCATGTAGAGTTCTCATTTTTGACAGTATTCTCAATGTTCCAATTTACGTCCAAGAAATTTAAACCGAATAGTTGCCTGATTAAATATGATTTTCTGATAATTGATGGTTTTTTACATATCACCTACATCCACGAGAGTTCGTATATTTTACGGATAACCAAATGAACACAAATGCGGAAGACATCAACAATTTTTATGGTCTACTTGAATAAGGATAAAATATTTATTGCGGAGAAAGTATAATAAGAGGGATTCATAAATATCCTTTATTGCTCTGACAAAGTTTTGTCCCATTTTCGTTGCTGTAATAGAGGAACTTCTTATATATACGCTGTTTGTGACATACAGGCGCAATTTATTTTTTGGTATTGTAGGGATTGTGAAAAAAATTATGCGTCAACAGCGTGATAAGCAAACGTGTGTAGGTGTATTACGATACAACCAGCGGCAGTTTTAGTCCACATTAGATACACGGAAAACGTTTGTAAATAGGAATATACAGCTCACTACCCACCATGAATTTGTTGCCCTTTATTTTTTAGATAATATAGAAATACTGAAGAGTAAAACAAGACTATAAATTTTGTTGATCTAATAGTTGTACTGACATACTTCGTTTAGTTTCTGTAACGATGTGACCTTCAGTTTGACCGGCGCAAAGTAGAAAAGAACAGCACTAGGCCAGAAAAGGAAGGAGACAACTCTCGGCCAAACTCTTAACCGGTGAGAAGCGTATAATCCGTACAGTACTGCACGGAAAAATNCAAACAACGTTGTAAAAATCTAGAAATACGCGAAAAATAGTATCTCTTCGATCTGATATCAGTTACTTTTGTTTTCTAATGGTTGAAATAAAACATTAACTTTCTAATTTAAAATTTGGTGTATATCTCCGCTGGTGGAGGACATAGGGAAGTCGAAAACACGTCAATTTGTTCGTCATGGAAGAAGCTAAAAATAAAAATAAAAGCCATCAAAATTGCTCGGGAGCCACAATTAAGATAAGACTTTAATCTTGTCTTAAAGCTTCTCTTCTTGTGCTGTATTTATTTACACTTTGTGTTAATTGCTTCTTTTGTGAAAAAGTTATATATATATATTTAGTTTATATTATTCATGTTTATCACAAATATGTGGTATTTCATTTTTTTGTTAAAATTGTGCATCTGAAAGTGTAACATCAAACGATTGGTTATGATAACTTCGAGTAACAGATTTTGAGTTTGAAAAATTGTGTAACAGGAGTGACGATTCACTGTCGCTTATATAAAATTATTATTAGTGAAGAGAAGGGTTGTTGGCCTTTGCCACTTAGAAAAGCTCTTTAACTTAATAATACTTAATCATTTATTTATAGGTGGAATGTATATAGGGAAATTTAAGTAGGTACTTCAAGGGCTTTGCGAAGGCTTTGTGACATTTAAAATGCAGCAGTTTAAGTAAGAACTTCCCTTTATTAAATTGCTGCTTTCGTGTGTTTCTAAACTTATTTAAGCAATTTTGAGGTGAAACTAAATTAAGATTGGCCGTAAACTGTAAAACCGCAGATTACAAAAATAAAACCTGTTTAAGGACTTTAGACATTCATTTTTAATTATGGTTTTTGAATTTCTAAATTAATCGACTTCGTTTGTTTTACGTATATCGCTGGAGATTTTTCCATCCTGAGTTGTCTGACTCCCTAAAAATCAAATCAGCGACTTCTTCTAGTTTAGCGTATTTTTATATTAATTTTAGCCCTATTTTTGTATCCCTTATATATTAATGCTTATGTTTTCACACCATACACTTTATCAATACCGCTTCCATTTTATTTAAAGCTAACTCTAACTCTGTAAATCTAAAGCTAATCTATTGTCTCCCTATGTCTAAGCTGAAAGCTGTCCTGTCTTTAATAATCCCTTTTTCGATGTACAAATTAAACAGTAGCGGTGACAATGTACATCATTGTTTAATTCCCTTCTATCCCCAAATCTCATCTCTACATCCTTAAGTACTTTTAACATCTCCCATTAAACATTGTCAATAGGTTTTCTAGATCTATGAATCCTAAGTGGTACCTCCTTTCTTAAACATTTATGAGTAAAAAATTATAATTAGCATTCTTAAAAAATGTATCATTTAAAAACATTTTATGATTTTTCTAAATCAATTCTAATCACAAAGTGCATTTAAAATCATTGAGTTAATAATTCATTGGAGTATTTTCTATAAACGTAAATCGTTAATATTTAAAATATGCCATATTTAGGTCTACCTATGTCTAGTTAAAGTAGGTACCAGTTTTATTGTCTAAATATCGCTGAAAAGCGATTAAGGGTAGCGATTCGTTGAAATGAAAATTTCGTTAAGCATGAATGTAGTATGATATATTGCTTTTATTTACAACTGAAAGCGCTCGTCGTAGAACTGAAACGGTAGTTTAAACCATTTACTGGAAATAATTTCAAATTCTCTCTGCAAAACTTAAGATAACGAATGGCATGCTGTTAATGATAAAATTCGTTTGTCTTTCTCATTCGTAATACTCAGAGCTCCGGGTTTTATCAAATACCGCTTTTTGAAGTAATCTATCGAAACGACAATAGAAAGACGTAAAGTGGCTCACAATGAAATTAATTTATTAAAATTTTAATTAGTAATGTTGCATATCTTTTCCTGATAATAGAATTGAATTTGTTGCAAAATAGTACCAACCTAATCCACTGCAGCCTAATTAAAAAACAATACGTATAAGCAACATCCGCCTATATTTTCGTCATTTATCTAAGCGCGATGGGTTTTATCTTTTATTTAGGTGTATTGATAAAAAATTAAGGGCTTGACCCTGACAACACCCACTTCGTTAATGTTGTCTTTTCCTACCATACCTTTACGATCCTCAGCAAAAAAAATTCTTGGAGCATTGCCATTTGTCCAAAACGGTGGTGACCAGAATTATCGAGATTTTTGAATGTAGATGGAATTTACCCAAATAAGACAATATATCATCGCCTTGCTTGCTTCTTATAATAGGTAATTTCTCCGGTGCTGCGAATGTGTAGCCACTTTTTAAGGATACTTGAACTGAATTTTCTGTACATATGAACATTATCCATGATCACATATACACCATACTCGCCTCCAAGAACTCGAACCTTTTTAAGCAACGATTTTTCGAAAATATGTGTATTCCCGTGGCGCACATATTAGGGAGCCGTTTGGCCAGTCGTCATGTAATCTTTCTTAATGAACGTAGAATGCCGAGACCTTTAGTTTATTATGAGGCAGGTACATTAAGTGCATATCACCCCGACTATAATTTTGAGGGGGTACAGGTAGGGTCCCTAAGAAGGTAGCTACCTTTTGCTGGTCCCATGAGGTTGCCTCCTAGGGCTAGGAAACGACGACATAATTAATATTGTTACGTTAAGTTTTTTCATTTTACCGAGAGTATTTGGCAAATGGATTTGCCTCATCGAGCCTCCATAAGGTAGATTTAATTGTAAGTTTATAGATGTGTTAGGTTTGTATCTTAAGACCCATATGAAAAACCCATAAGGCAATCCTCATTTTAGTATCACCANTTTCCTGCTTTTCCATTTTTACGAAAACCACAGAGGCGTCTTGTTCAGCGTGCTGTCAAACCTACACTAGCAAGGAGATCGGGCTGAAACTATAGCTACAAGCTATCCAAGGATGGTACTAAAGAATGTCACCTCAAGGTAGGCCTAGTGGCGTCATCTCTTGGTTAGGCCGGAAACTTATCAATCCACCCTCGTATATGTTGCTGACTATAGGTAATATGATAGGAGAACACTTACCTCCACCGTAACGTACCACAGCGGCCATCTTTTTTAGGAACTTGTACTCCATCCGGAAGTCGAAGTTGTAGCCGCTTTGACTTTTGGAAAGTCTAAGCAAACTGACGCTGACAGTGACGCTCTTTGTTTCGCTGTAATAGATCGATGGGCCCCACGATGTCCCGCACCATGAGCCGCCCATGTGTGGCCGGTTAGACTCACTTATTTGTAAGGCACCGTCTGGACAACCGTCTGACGTGAACGAAACGAAACGACCAACCGTGAAACTGTCAAATTTCAACTGAAAACAAGTACAATATTAGCAAAAGATCGTCGCAAAGGAAAAACCAAACACCAACAGTTAATTGTCAGGGATTTAGTTAAAGAAAAAGGAATTTAAACACTTGGTTGTTCTGTTTTTATTTTTTATTAAAATTGTAGCTAAAACAAAAATGTATCTAGTATATTCAATGAAAATTGGAATAGAGAACTGATTCTTCTCTTAGTCCTTGCGAAGGGCGGAATTTCCCAAACAACGTTGTAAAAATCTAGAAATACGCGAAAAATAGTATCTCTTCGATCTGATATCAGTTACTTTTGTTTTCTAATGGTTGAAATAAAACATTAACTTTCTAATTTAAAATTTGGTGTATATCTCCGCTGGTGGAGGACATAGGGAAGTCGAAAACACGTCAATTTGTTCGTCATGGAAGAAGCTAAAAATAAAAATAAAAGCCATCAAAATTGCTCGGGAGCCACAATTAAGATAAGACTTTAATCTTGTCTTAAAGCTTCTCTTCTTGTGCTGTATTTATTTACACTTTGTGTTAATTGCTCGTTTTAGCTCATTAATTAGAATAAAGGCTATGAAGTTTGTAACTCGCACTCAAAAGTACGAATTAAAACGGATTCTATACGCACTCCACTTCGGTGTGGTTACACCTATAACCCTTTGCCCTTGCTTTGATCCGTGATCATCTCTCATGAAGTGAAATGTAATGTGACAGTTATTTTGGGAATCTTCGCTAACTGTTACGTAACCGATGAATTTATGATGATCGTTTATGAAGCGCTTTAACGACCAGTAAATTCAAGTCGTTAGTAACGTGGCGCTATCAGTTTAGCCATTATACAGTTGACAACGTTCGGAAATGAAACGCGTTGTAAAACATTAGTGTAAGTTTTATTTTCATCGGCCCAGTATTCGGCCTATTATACAGATAAAACATCAACAACCAACGGTCGAATTGTGTATGCAGGGAATGTTTCGCGCGATTGTGAGTTAATACCGAATTATAGCTGCATAAAAGAGAAATTTATAAAGTATTTAGCAAACAAATGTGAATATGATGTATTGTGAAGGACTATAGGTACATATAACAGTTTTATACGTATCTATGACTAAACGTATTGACTGCTTAATGATAATATTAAATGCCTATAACATTGAATTAAGGCGTTGGCATAACCTAAATTGAACTAAACTGTATTGATTTTCATAATGATTCGTTAGACATTGTAATTTTTATAACTAAATTTTTAAAAGTATTTGCTGCCTTTTGCCAAGGTCGAGTCAAGAGAGTTCATTATCATCATCATCATCATAAGGTCGTCAGTCCTAAGACTGGTTGGACACGCACCTCCACTCTTTCCTATCCTGAGCTAATCTTCGCATTTCCCTAAAACTAGAACAACCCACATCCTTAACTATTTGCGAACAGTAATCTAATCTAGGTCTACCTCTACCCCTCCTAACTCCTGTTTCTGCCTCTAATATGTCTCTGACTAGACCTTCATGCCTGAAAAGGTATCCTGTCAACCTATCTTGCCTATTTCTTATTGACTTCCATAGAGTCCTTTGTTTTCCTACTCTTTCTAATACCTCTTCATTTCTAACCTTCTCTATGCATAGTAAGTATCCTCATCATTCGAGCATAGAAGTGACTTCTTTTTATTGAAGGCGACTCGACCTTGCACTATCCTCTGCTTTATATCCCTACTACACCTTCCGTCCTGACTTATCTGACTATAGGAAATATACCTAAAATCAGCCACTTCTTCTAATTTTTCGTCTCCTATCTTTATATTCGCTCTTTCCCTTACTTTTTGTTTCCTTACGTACCAGTATTTTTTTTTTTTTCTAGAGAGCTATCTTTGAATAAATAGTAATTTCATTATTGCTAGTTAAAATGCGGTGTTTCGGTGCATAGTAAGCGAAATGTTAAAAAAAAACATACTGCTAAATACTCGTATAATGTTTGTAAGTATTGCCAGTCGAGGAAAATTAACAACTATTTCGAAAACTTTTAATTATGTGCATACTTTTTCATTTATGGACCGTTATTTGTTGTTTATAAAAATATGCACGTTTACGGTTTTACAGTAATCCTGTTTAATACTTTTTTTTTAATATTACGGGATTTTTCCAAAAACTGAATGTAGATAGTAAAAAAAAACGGAAATTGATCAAGATTCACGTTTCTAACTTTGTGTAGTTTTCAACTAGCGATAAATAATAAAAAAGGAAGAAAATGTTTCAATAACCAACGAAGCGAGTTCCTAGCACGTCAAACTGACTATAAGTTTGTTAAAACTTCATAACGTATCATTAATGTACGGAACGGGATTTATTTCAAGTTAAGGAAAGTTAAGTTTGAATAATAAAGCGCAGTAAGTAAACGTTGATAGCAGAGTCTATATTACGTCAAAGATAAACACAACTTCAGTTATTAAAATTCTTTAAAACCTAAGCTTACATAACAAGTAGTGTAGCATATAATGTCTAAGATGATCAAAGCATGTACCCACAGAATGTTCATCAACCGTTTTCGTACTTTTGATTAATAAATGTCAGATTTTCTTTATTTATATGTATGTAATTGTCGGAGTGTTAATCCACCACTTTCAGACCGTTCTGAAAGCGGCCAGAGGTACAATAGAATCCGCTTATAATGACATCGAATGGAAATGACAAACACGTCATACTAAGCGGGCGTCATACAAAGCATAGTCCTAGAAAATAAACAACTTTCTATTATGGTTAGTTATTTGGTTAAATAGAGAGAAAAACTGCAAATTGTGTATATTTATTAACAGAGAAAGAAAAAGAACGATGAATTGTAATATCAATATACATAAGAAGGGTCAGAAAAATGAGCGAAAATGATATTATTTATCATTTGGGTCACTATAGCCGGATATGATTTCTTGAAAATCAGTCATAATAAACGAATTCCACCGTATTTCAAAATCTAATAGGCCGCGTAATGCGCGGATGGTGGGTCTTATTGCACTCATATTGTACAATTCAAAAACATTGATCGGCTGTTAGCCATGTGCCTCACTATACAACTAAGAACAGAACACAAGGTAAACTTTAGAAAGTAACAAGTAACGGTCAGTTGTTTTTAAGAGGTAGAAATGCAAAAATCAATGGACAAGAAGAGTCTCATTACTGCGCAAGTCATGACCCATCAGATTCGGAATTACCTCTAACTAAACTATAGCATTTAGCGTCAGGATAGCTAGCATTAACTTTTAAATTGAAACTTTTGAGTGTTTTTGAAAGTAATAAGCGAAAGACTAAAAACCCCTTATGTTTAAGAGAGGAGTGGTGGATAATATTGTTGGAATATAATATTAACAGTTAATTTATTCTATGTTTTCTCCCCTTCGTTATGAATTTTAATTAGGTGAACATTTACCGTCGTTATTATTCGTGTTTTATTATTGTTCGCAGTAATTGTCTTCCCTTACTTGTTAAACATTTTTCTAATCCATTTTCTTTTTATTTCAGGTACATCGAGCTTTCAGAAGGTACGTTATGTCATTTACGTAGTTTTTTTTATAAATTATTCTATTGCATGAAAGCAGAATAAGTTGGCACGTAATTTCCAAATGTATTATGCATGCCTTTTGAGCATAAAAAGGTAGATAGGACAAAATTCATGCAAATTTTAAAACTGTACGGAATTCATTTTCATGCAAAATGTTTTATAGCAGATAAGTCGGGGTACCAATTTTTTTTAAAATGCACGCCATGTATGGTTTTCTGGTAATAAAAACGTTGTTTCAATCATTGTTCATAATCTCCAGTGGTGCATTTATAAATAATAATAAATGTTAAAAAGGATTTTCTGGTAAAAAGTTTAATAATATCATGTCGTAAATTAATATCGTATGTGCTCTTGGGATTCGTCAAATGGGAGGAGCCTAAAAACATGGCGCCGATTAGGGAAAATTTATCGTAGTTCCTATAGTGTACCGTGCAATTTCCAAGTTTTTAAATTACGATAAAATGATAAGTATTGACACAATATGTGATTGGGCTGACACAAAGCCTCGGAAAGGAAATTTCGTTGAAGGTGAGCGTGTTTTTAATGCCAATCACATTATAAAATTCGGAAATAACAAATCCGGAAGCTAGCCTTCAAATTCCGTCAAGTTTACTGCCTACTTTTTACAAACTTCGGATTTAAAAAGTGATTCACGTTATATAATTGGTGAGGTGATTCTGGGTGATTTAAGCAATATCATATCAATGACTTGCACGTGCAAAGCCGATTTAAGAGAACGTTGCAAACACATTATTGCAACTTTGTTGTATTGCAGCAGGTAGGTTCTTAACCTCAAAATACTTATATCGTATCATTAGAATTGTGTTAAATCAATTACACAGGAATAAATAATTTCTCACTTTATAATTTTAGTATGATTCTAGTTTTAAATATTAAGGTTATGGCTGATGGTAAATACTTGCTGAAATATAATCATGTGCATTAAAATGACGTGAACAAATTTTTATTCCGGAATTCACTTCTTTGATACCTACTGCTTTCATCCAAGCTTCTATTAGTTTACTTTTTTCTCTAATTTTCCGAATATATTTTTTACATATATAAAACGGTTAGTTTTTATTGGAAAGTAGTTAATGTAGGTGAAGAGTGAAGATCTATGTCTGAAGTGCTATTGCAGCTTTTCACCGAACATATTAACTTTTTATTTGATTTAACTTTAGAAGAAAACTTCGTCGACTCCATCATCTAGAAAATTTTTACTTTTTTAACGTGTTTTATCATTTTAATAAACAATTTTACAATTTGCGTGCACAGTTCCTATGTAAATTTTTCCCTCATTCGAGTTATAAATTTTGCCATCAGATGGTGTATGCCCATTTGACGGATCCCAATACTTGTATGTAATTTGATAAAAAAATATAACCTAACCTTATTCAATGAAATCAAAAGTAACCATGGATTTTAGGCTCAATGTACGATACGTTCATATAACTGTGTAACTTGAACGTCTTTAACTCGACTGTTTTTATATTCCGTTGACATACATACTATTTTATTTTCTTCCAAACTTTCTTCATTTCTCTCACTCTAGATTACACAGTGAATTTATGTAAGTATATTAGTATTCTTCGGAAACAACTACAGTACACTAACAGTGATTATCCAGCATTTTCAATTTTGGTTACGTATCTGGTAGAGTAGTATTAATAAAAATCATTGAAGTTTTACTACGATGCAATATTTTGCTATCAAATTCTCATATTTCATTTATTAGTACGCGAATCGTATTACCAAGGTAACCTCATTAAGTTGTTACCACAAGGAAGATGATCTCTATAAAATTTTTATATTATTGCCGTGGTAAAGAAAAGAAGAATGAAGAGGGTTTGTCATAACAATTTTATCATATAATAAAGTCCTTGTTTATGTATTGTAATTCCTCGCCCTCTTGAAAGAAGCTTTTATCCAACCTTGATGAATATTATCGGTCATGCCTGGGAAACTCTATTTCTGTGTTAGAGGGCGCAAAGAAAGTTTACATCAAAAGCATTTTTGTTGGGAATTGATAAAGGTGCAAGTGTCATGGGCAATTATAGTTGAAAAGTCGCGCAAGTGTATAATATTCCGACATGAGATTATTGTTTGTGGTGCTCGTACATGTAAAATAAAGATTTACCGGTTGTGGTTAAACTGTATTGTTCGTTACGACTAGAATTTAAGTGAATTGCGGTAATGTGATTAACACTGTTTGACTTTTTGTTGCAGTTTTAAAATGCAAGTTGAAAAGTTAGAATGAAATAGTGTGCATTGTGATCTAGGAGGTATTCAATTTTGTATTTATTGAAGAGGTGATAGAGTGATTCTATAAGGGTTCCTTTTTTCATTTGGGCCTACGAAACCCAAACCCAAGAAAAACTTAACATTGTACTTGAAAAAGAAACAAGTAAGATTCACGTTATGTTCAGACCACAGACTTCTAATTAATTTTCTTATAATCTAAAAGTAAAAAACTATTTTCTGTGTTTTTTTAAAAAATTTTTATTTCAGTAGTTTCGGCGATAAAGGGGGGTGAGAATGGACAATTTTCATCATTTTCTTAAATAACTAGACTTTTATATATTTTAAAATCATAAAAATATATACATTTGAGACCCTTATAACAAGCTAACAAGCCGTTTCATTTGATATGTCACGGTATAATTTGCAATTTTTTTTTTATATTA